AAGGAACTAATGTGCGGATCTGTGGAAAAATTCATGTTGTTTATGTTTAAGACGTTTTATCAAAAGCATCAGCAAATGGATTGCACTCTCGAGGCTTTCATGATGTGTCGCGCTGGTATGGTCATCATCATCGCGCTCTGGTAGTCAATAAAGCCGATGAAATTCCCCAAAGGCTGGAGAGAGTCCGATATATCTTATCTTATTTTATCACTGCCCAATCAAACATTGATAAAAAACAGTTTTTCAAACCATGTGTAAAAAGATGGACAAAATGTGTTTCCAAACTCAACTTATCAAAGTGAAATTGGCATTCACCAATACATAATTATAATCTCTCTCTATGGTAGAGCACACAAACAGCGAATTTCCAACACTCTAGATGTTATCTTCGTAAGATAAAATTTGCTTAATATTAAGTAAATCATTTAAGGAAACGAATTTTTATCTTTAAATTCTTGCGGAAACGCAACGAATCAAAGTCCTTTTTGCAGAGATTAGTGACGTCCGATAAAAAGTGGTTTACATACGATAATAATGTGCGAAAATAATTGCTGCCTACCCCGAATAAAGGTGCATAGGTGAAGCCAAATTGGCAGAGAATATTTTATGTTTACTAGGATCAGAGGAGAACTGCATATTAGAACCGCTCTCTGTCAGCAACTAAGCGCAAATTGGGTAAAGCATCGACATTCGCGAAGACCTCGTCAGCCCGCAAAAATCTTCACCAACACTGTCTTGGCTAGGAAGTTTTGATGCAGCCAAGACTTTGCCTCCCATCTGACTGTCATTTGATTCTCGCTGTGCAAAGAATTTCTTAATGGTGTCCAGGTTATTTTAAGAAAACTTTGTGAAAATTACTTGGTTTAGTTTTTAGGCCGGAAATCTCAGAATGTTTATAGGGATAGCAGAGAAAAAATTTTTAATTGAAAATTTCAAGAACTTTTTATGTTTCTTTTGCTAAAACTCTATTATGAATTAGTTTTCATTAAAAAATATTCAAAATTCTCCCTTTTTGCGAAGGACTTACTACTCATGGGACATCGTACATGGAATGGAGCGATGTCGTTCCAATTAGGTCTACTTAATTTTTTCGTTGAATTACTATCGTAAACAAGTTTTCATCACAAAAAAATGAGAATTCTCATAGGTAGTGCTATCCAAAAAATAGACCTACAAGTTCCAATTTCGGTAAGGTAGTTTTTTTTTTGTTAATTTTCACCATGAAATAGTGGAAATTCACCGTATAAAGGTTTAGTTTCTGCAGGAACAGTTATATGAGAAGTGATTCAAAAAATTGCCCCAGCCGGTTCAAAGTTTTTATACTAATTTAAAATGCCGAGATACTACTGCTTAGCCATTTTTGCGAAAAATTTGAAATATTGCAATAGTTTTTCAGATAACTTTCCAGAGTAAGACGCTATGTGGGAAGTGGTCGACAAAGTGGACCGATCCGAACTATTTTCAATAGCGTTCGTCCTCTGGCCAAAGTATGCCAGAGTACCAAACTTAGTCCAATTAATTAAAAAATGGTGACCTATAAGAACAACACAAGAAAAAAAAGGTGGACAGACGGACACACAAGCTTGGTTTGATTCAGAAATTTGTTCTCAAGCTATCGGTATAATAAGAACTGGGTCCATCTCAAGTCCTTCTGGGTGTTTTATACATCCGCACAAACTTAATATACTCCTGTACAAAAAATTTCATCAAAATATCTTAAAAACTGCGATTTGCGGTTTAAACACAAAAATATGTGGACAAAGGTCAGAAGGACAAACATTCTTTGAACGATTTAGCAAATGATTCTGAATCGATCGGTTTAATAAAAGGGAAGTCTACCTTAAGCCATTTTGTGTGTTAGATGCGACCGCACTTAATATATTCTGTACCACAAGTGATGTAGCGTATAAAGGAGGTTAAAAGGGTAATACGATCTGTGATAGGAAATCGAGTCGTTTATGGGATTACAAAAAAAAAAAAAAAAAAACAATGTGCCGGAAGTCTAGCGATGTTTACTAATAATATCGTATATATTGAAATAAATCCATCCACTCGGTATTAAGTGAATTACGACTCCAATGATTTTCAAAAGAATTGTTAACTAATTCGCAATAAACACTTGCATTTAATCGTATGATTTGTTATTTGTATACATATCTGATTAGTAGTTTGCGAAATGAATCGATGTTAATCAACTTTAAAGCGAGTATAATCATGCTCTTGATATAATTCAAATCAATTGAAAAAAATTCCTCTCAATTATTTTATTATTGTTTTTAGATTGAATTTCTTTTGCCGGTAATTAAATGTTTACAAAATTTCCGTCGTAAAATATATTTAAAGCAACATACGTGTAGCCAAAGAATTTCTTTTCTCATTTGATCTGCGCAAAAGACACGCTAATGATCACTTTTTTCATTTTAACACTTATCAAGGAACCTTGACATCTTAGCTTATAGCAGCTACTACTAACAATCTCTACCAAGCTTATCTATGGCATCATTTGCTTAAAGAAAAGTAGAAAAGAAAGAAATAAAAAAAAAAAAAAAATTAAACCCTTCGGTCAACCCGCCGGCAATTCAATTAGTTTTAGTTATGTTTCTGACTTTGAAGACTATTTCGATGGGAGGTTGTTTTAATGAAAATTTATTTAAAAAAATTTTTTTTTTTTTTTATATATATAAATATGTATATGTATATTTTAGCAATTAAGTTACACAAGTTGTATGCGAATCGTATTTAAATGGTTTGGAGGTCAAAAAGTCATCAAACTTTTGTTACATGTATACTTGTTATTCAATGCACTTAATCAGTCGTTGTATAGTATTCCTCATCCTCCTTATTCATTTGACTACTGTGCGCATACATAAACATGTATAAATATATTGATAGCACTACTACAACTATCATAAGTAAATACGTAAATGCACGTACGTATGCATGGTTTTCATTTACTTTTTGATGGTATAAATTGTATATAATGCAAAAAAAAAAAAAAAAAAAAACAAAAAAAAAAGTAACCATATTTTTTTTTTCCCTTGCGGTGGGTTGCATGCATATTCATATAAGTTTAATAATGTATATAAACTATATCCATACATACGCGGCTTTGTTTTTGTATTCCTTGTAACCGGTTGTTGTGTTTAAACGGTGTCACTAAATAATCTTTTCTTGTTGTTGTTATTATTATAGTTGTTTTTTTTTTGTTTTTTCAAACATATACATATTACATATACATATGTATGTATATATACATACATAAATATATACGGCGATAAAGCTTAAAATGGATAAATTTTCACCGTACAGCTGATACGAACGAACGGCTGACTTTTTTGCGACTGGTTTTCTCCTTTACATTTTCCTAATGCATTACCTGATACATCTATAGAGAAAATTTGCGAAGAAAATCGTATAAAAATTGCAAATAACAAAACTTATCAAACTTGTTTGTCGCTTTATTAAGGAGAGAAAAAGGTAAAGAAAATAAAAAACACTGCGCAATACATATAACATTTGGTTGTTGTTGTTGGTTTTTTTTTTTTTTTTTTTTTTTTTGATAACTATCAAGCTTAAGACGCGAGCTATGTTAAGTCTATTAAGCTGGATGATGTTTGAAATATGAAAGCGAAGCCGTAAGCAGGATTTTAAACGAAAGATAAGAAAAAATTATAAACAAAAGATACTCAAAGTGTATTGTTTTAAATTTCCCAACTTGCCTAGGCCTAATGTTCTGGTTATCTCCAGTAAACATTTATAGAGCTGTACACTTCAAAGATCTCAAACAGTGTACTTTATTTGGCCAGAAAGCATAATTTCCTTTATTTTAATATAATCGAATATTATCGAATTTGTCATTTATCACTCCCTACCGGCTTTTTCTAGTTCTCCTTTTTTACTTCGTAAGGGAGGAACAGATCAATGGTCTTTAATAAAATACTTTAAAATTCGCGAAAATTGTTTTAAAAACAGGCGGACTATCTTGTTAAAGTATTAGGCAAATTTCTTTTAGTTTAAAGCTTTTTTGATAGAGTAAAAGAGTAAAAGTTTATCGTGGTGATCCGATTTTGTCATAATAAAATAAAGTACACTTTTGCGCTTTATTATACGTTCTCGTAGTGAAGTGTACAAGCCAGAATGCAAGGCACTGTGCAAACGATATCTATTACTTAGTGCATGCACTTAAAGTGGGATTTCACTGTTATGCTCAGAAGGAAGGATAAAACCTATGAGAAATGAGCGGTGCAGCAGGTAATACCCTAACGGTGCATAATCTCCAATTCGAATGAGTTTTTAACTCTCCTCTTTATATAAGAAAACAATGTCAAATAAAAGAATTTGCTTTAAAGCATAGAAAGATTTCTATTAACCTTAATAATGAATTAAAAAGGAATCGTCTAGGGCTCTTGAAAGTTGCATTAACTAAACTTTAAACTTGTTCATGTAGCTTGTTATGTCTTTCGTTTTTCTTACTTTGTTATTGTTTTTTATTTATTTGTTTTTCGGCAAACAGCTGAGAAGAGAGAAAGAGAGAGTGAGCGAGCGAAGAGCAAATTTGTATAATAACAGAAAATAAGGGGAAGGAAAATGTTTAAAAAATAAAAAGCGTGATAGTGGCTGGTGGTAGTTAACTAAAATATAAGTATATGTAGAAAATATGTGTATGTGAAGTGAAATAAAACTCTACGAAATTTCTAGAATATTAAAGCATGGTCTTCTTCATGATTAACAATTTTATTGTATGCATTAATAATAATTTCCTTTTTTTTACCTAAAAACTATAAAAAGCTTGTTTTTAACCTGTATTATCCACCCTTAAGGTTTTCATACATCACCATATATCAAAACTTAAGGATTTTTTTTTTTGATTTTTTCTTTAGGTTATCGGGAATTCTTAAAAATAAATTATATATAGTTTTATTTTATGATCATTGCAGCCCTATGAAATTTATAATTTATGTATTTGTATTAAAAGTAATCTTTTAATGCGAAATACGAACCGGCTTTTTGTAGCTCCTTTTTTGTTTCACAAGAGCGTATTTTGCTCGAACTGTTTATAAGAAAGTGTTTTGTTCTTTTATCGCTTTTTATATTGTTACGATGTTATTATGAATTTATTATTATTAAAACATAAAATTTAATATGTATTTACAATTTTCAAGTTCCTTTTTATTAAAGAAAATATGCAAAGAAGAACGTTGTATAACCGCTTGAATGATTTTATTTAGTAAATTACCACTTTTTAGACAACATTACCGCCAAGAGCGCCACCTAACTCAATAACAAGTTGTTTATTCAGTATTAATACCATATCAATTAACTTTTTCGAAGAGTAAGAGGCAAACGTTTGTTTAATTTTTCTTATTATTATATACTTTATTTTCATTTGACGGATGGTATTTTGCCGTCTGTTTTGTTTATATTAATCTCATGCGATAAGAAATTGTACAACTCTCTCATTTCAAACAAAATTCACTGCTGAACTGACTGCAACTGAGTGAGTTAATTATCTAAATATCTACATTTAGATGTCTATAGATACAATTGTATCTATACAATACAATCAAAAACACCTTTCAGCTTATTATGCCTCAACTATAGTCACACATTATCAATCTCTTAATTTGTTTTTACATTATTTTTCATTTTATCAATTTTTGCTATGTTATCCGGTCGCCAGGTCTCCTCAGTTTCTTCACTTTCGTATGTACAGCTGTTTTTTTGGATTGAAATGCCATATTTTTCTAATTGTTCATTATCGTACACGCTCTCTGTTCTTCTCACCAAAAGTATATACGATCTTAGATTTACTACAGTTTTTTGTTTTGGCTTCTTTCCGCATTATTAAATCACCGCTGATAAGCTTTTACATTGAAATAGTACAATGAAATTTAGTTTCGAAAGTGGTCTTTTTCTTTTTCGAATTATTAGATGCTCGCAAAATTGTTAATTTTTTTGTTTGGATAGGTTTGATACAGATTTTTTTGCATTGATTTGCAATTTAACAGATTATTTCATTATAAAAGCCGACGGCTTTGCAATGTAACAGACTCTTCGATTAAAATAGCTGGCTTAAGAGATTCTTTCATTAAAACAGCTGGCCTAACAGATTCTTTCATTAAAACAGCTGGCGGCTTTGCAATTTAACAGATTTTTTCATTATAAAAGCTGGCTTAACAGATTATTCATTTGTGTTTTGCTTTTTTAACAGATTATTCAGTTGTGCTTTGTTTAATTTGATAATAAAAATTATGGCGGTCTACTTTTAGGCTAACTTATAAAACAATAAACGCTTTTCTCTTTAAGCGTCAACTTCAAAAAAACTCTACTGCACTTAAGATTCGAACTCACGACCATTGATTTGCCTACTCGGCTACTCAGGCGGATATATTATTATTATTTTTTGGCATTTTATAAGAAAAAAAAAGCAACTTTGAAAATTTCATTAAAAATTGTGTAAAAAAGTCTGTTATAAACAAAAGAAAAAATACGTCAACACAACCAGAGAATTCGTTGTACGACCAGAGAATTCGTTGTACGACCAAAAAAGTTTGTTGTACGACCAGAGAATTCGTTGTACGACCAGAGAATTCGTTGTACGACCAGAAAAGTTTGTTGTA